GGGTGGTAGGAAGGGTCCAGAACAAAGGGAAGAGCAGATTATACAGTCCCTTTTCCTTGCGCAGGCCTCAGGACAAAGGGGTAGCTAGTGATTGGTTTGGCTGACCTTCATCTGGTTTCCTAAATATGGTGAGGTTGGCTTTCCGCCAAGGTGATTGGCACCCTACACCTTATCTATACAGGAATGCACAAGAATGCAGGGTCCACCCATGGGGGAGTAAAGTTTCCCCTGGAATGGTGGTTTTAATAACATAGCGCTCATTATGTTCTTCAATAATAATAATAATAATAATAATAAATGGGTTCCCATAGTTCCCCTGGAATAGGGAGTTAATGGCCAAATGCCCTATTCTAGTACCACATCCCCAGGCCTGAATCACATTTCTATCATAGGAATGACGGCCATTCCTAAATATGCTGTGTAATCCACATAGCATTCTTCTAGTTGTGATCACTGTGTCTGTAGAAAACATGCTAGCATTTGTTAGCAAATAAGTTGGCTACTTTTTAAAAATTCCTCCTCTTCCTCCATTACCTCCTCCCCTAGCACTTCTTCCCTACCTACCCCTTTTAAATGGCAGAATCATGTCTTAGTCCATAACACCAAGAAACCAGTTTGCTTGATGAGCACCTCACAGAATAGCAACAAAGTAGGCTCAGCTGCAATAATGCTTCAGCTTCTTTCTAGTTTAATCAGTGTTCTCTAGTAAAACAATAGACAAAACAAATAAAAGGTACTTGGATGCCTCCTAGTCTCTTCATTCTGCTTGGAAAACTCTTCTCAAGTTAGTAATTATTCAGCCACTGTCTTGTAATTCACACTCTACCTCCAATAACCATGCAGAATTAGCTGCTGTCTCTTCTCACATCCACACAAAGCGACCACACCCCTCTTCTATTGAAATGTAATTATGATAATTATCACCTACATTCTTCATTCCTCCTAGCCTATGAGGAGATTTTCAAGAGTTTTACCTTATTTATCTTTTGTCTCCCATATAGTACAATACCTATCCCATAGCAGTCCTTGGTGCAGATATCTTCCCCCAAGATCCCCACCTTGTATTCTAGACATTGTGAAGTCATTGCTGTTGAGCATGGGCTGGCTTTAGTAACTCAATTCTAATTAACAGGATATAGTAAAAAGTAGTGGGACATTACTTCTTGGATGTGGGACTTCCACCTTTTTGGCTATTGCTTATTCTTTTTGAAATGCTCTGTGGACAACAGCATGTGACAAGGACCTATGGAAAGAATGCAGCCATCTATCATAGGAACTGAGGTCTCGGTCTAACAACCCTGGGAAAACTGAATTCTGCAAACACTTACGTGAATGACCTCAAAGCAACTCTTTCACTATGCTTGAGATGACTGAGCCTTCTGAGTGAGCCAAAGCCAGAAGGAACAACTTAACTTCTTCTAATTCTTCTAACCCACAGAAAGGTTGAAATAATAACTGACTTAAGCCACTAAGATTTGGGAAATTTGTTGTATAGCTGGTGGTAACTAGAGTCATTGTCAATCCTTTTCATGTACAAACTATGGAATAGCAGTTTAAAAAGATTGATACTTGGTGCCAGAAGAAAGAGCTATTGTCCCAAGAGTAGTGTCTCTTTGATACTTTGGGTTAGACAAAAAATCCATGAATATAAATAGGAAAAGAAATTCCTTGAGTGCTGAGGAGACTCAATTTGCAAGAGAGAAAGGAAGAAAATGGTAAGTGCTTATCTGGTTCCATTCTCTTTCCCAGCCTGCAAAGCGTCACACTTTAAAGCAGAAAGTTAGCTGTTTTACAGGCATTTAGGGAGGGCTGCATTTGGACTGTTGTACTGTCTGGGCTTTCTGATAAGCAGTAAGTCCTGGGAACCAGTAGGTAGTGTGACTCAACAAAAGAAAAACTATGTCAGGTAGAACCATCTATCTAATCAGCAAAAAGACAACACAGAGTACTTAGTCTCAGAGATAGTTTTTTCCCCTTTAGTTAACCCATAACATCCTAACTCTCCAGCTATGCAGTGACTGGTTACCCATTCTCTGTTTAGAGTGTTTTCCTGTCTTTCTCGTTATATGACAATGAATTTCTTGTTTACTACCTAACTCTAGCGTCAATGTTGAATTCTTTCCTCTCTGAAACAACTTCAGAGCTCCTTGGGGTCCCGCTCCTGGACCCCAGCTTGATTACGGTGTCATACTCCCTTTGAAGTTAGGCATATCTGGGTGAAAGTTCTGTTTGATGAACTGCAAGAAGAGGGGGTATTAAGTATCATACACAGATTGAAGTATTGACTCGTGGTTTGAGATACTTCTGTGTTCTCTTCTAATGTGGGATGGTGAGAGTCTAAAAGACTAAAAAATCCATGAGTTGCTGATCTGTGTCATGGAAAAGTCACCTTGAATGGTTTCCATGGATACTGTATAGAGAAGAAACAAATTTTCATGATGATAAACCTATCAGGTTAGGTATTGTATAATTCACCATCCTAATGTAACAGGTACAGGTTTCATGGACTCTGCCCCTACTCCAGATGCTGGAACTCCAAA